ATCTATATCTAACCTTTCCCAATATCAGTAACATTTTCAGTTTCATCATCTAGATGTGCATCTTTAAATTCTCTTTTATACTGACCCTCTGCATGCACATCCATATCATCACGTTCAACACCACCTGCATCTTGGTTGAATATGCCAGTAGGCTCAGTAGCACGACAATGATCATCAACTCCATATTTTCTAATTGGAACACTAGATTCTCTATCTGTGTTCATCTAATCAGCTTTCCCAAACATGTTCATCAAAGTATCAAGCTTTGATCCTAGAGTTTTCTTTAAATACTGAGAAAGCAACTAAGTTACAAAGAGAAGAACATGTTTAAAACTTAAGGACAGGCAGTCCTTAAGTTTTAACTCAAAGTTCAAAACTTAAGGACATGCAATCCTTAAGTTTGAACTCCAACTTCAAAAGTTAAGGATAAGAAGTCCTTAACTTTGAATTCCAAGTTCAAAACTTAAGGACATGCAATCCTTAAGTTTGAACTCCAACTTCAAAAGTTAAGGATAAGAAGTCCTTAACTTTGAATTCCAAGTTCAAAACTTAAGGACATGATGTCCTTAAGTTTCATTTCAAAGTTCAAAAGTTAAGGACAAGAAGTCCTTATCTTTCAATTCCAAGTTCAAAATTTAAAGACACAAAATCCTAAAGTTGGACTAACTGAAATTACCTTGATTTCATTCTCAATCATTTTTTCTGATACAGTAATTTTCTGATTAACTCTGGTAACTTCTGCTTGCAAATTCTTCTTAACCCTCTCTGATAATCTCTGAATCAAAAAACATAATATAAAAAAAGGTATTCGTAAGCAAGAAATAATCAAATAAAAAACTAATACTATTCAAAGGCAGAAACACATACTCTAACAATTTCCTTAAGTACGCCTTCGTCAAATTGTGTGGAAGAAGACCTTGAGCCTTGATCTTGTGAAACTGGCTCCTCCACACAAAGAGGCTCTGTATCTTCTTCTTCCACGGGAATAAAGGGTGACACCTCAATCAACTTAAACACCTATTATATAAGAAAAACTAAACATAAGTATACATAACTAAAACAAATAAACAAAAAAAGAGATAGTAATTACATTAACTTACTTTTTTATTATGGAAATATTTTCTACAAAGAGCATCAAATTGTGGAGACTTCATTTCAGAATAACATAACATTCGAGGATAACCAGCTTCTTTGAAGTTCACAAATTGTTTTTCTTGGAAAATAGGAAGTACTTCCATAATCCTGACACAAAACGCAAAAGGAAAGCCAACTAAAGTGTAGCTATCAATATCTTTTTCTTTCTCTTTCTCATTCTCAACATTATTCTCATTTGATTTCAAGCAAATCTTCAATGATTTTAATAGCATCTCATAAGCAAGAGAGCCCCAGTTGAAGGAAGCGCAAAGTGCATCATCGTCAACAATTTTCATTATTTGCTCCGACACATTCCTATTTTTCCTCTTGCCCATCAAAACCGACTCAACAAAATAGAGTGTTGCCAACTTCAAAGCATCATCATCACTGCCAGCAAATGATGAAGTTGTACCATGTGGGCGACTAGAAATAAAACTATACAAATCAGCCAACTCAATTTTGTCCTTTCCAGGGAAATAGACTCTTAAAAGCCTATTCTCTTTCTCATTTAAACCTTTCATGTCAAGCGACGAATAAGACTTCAAACCAGTAATAATATGGAATGCATCACGAGTAAACTTAATATCGCGGTCAAATACCTTGAAGGTCATCGAATCAGGTTCATTACTAACAATTTCAGAAAGCAATACACAGTGCATAAGTTTACCCGAGAACTTCACACTTTGTAATCTGAAGAAGTTGCCAAAAATACTTTCCCTCAATTTCTTCCATTGGCTATTCGACAGAAAACTTTTAATTGTTTCCTTATATTGAAAATCTCCTTTCCANACTATTTTTATGAAATATACCTACATAATCAAATATATTGAATCAACCACAAACACATTTCAAATTTCACACACTAAAAATTTATCAAAAACAGAATCACACAAAATATACTACACTGAATCAACATATAATGCTAATTTTTGAAATTTCACACATACTTCACACAACATTGAACCAACTTACACATAAAGTAAAATGAAAATGCATAAAAAAAATATATTACCAGTCGCGATTGACAAAAGATGACGGAAAAGATGAAGGAGCTGAAGTTTAACTGAGATTGCAGTTTGCATGCGAGGAAGATGAAGAAGCGCAGAACACAGAACCCTGAACTGCTCTCGTCTGAACTCTGAACGAATGAAAATAAGGGTTTTCGTCGATTTTGGGATTATACAAGAAATAGAGAAAGGGTAATTGTGTCTTTTCCCCCTTAGTAGTGGCTATTTTTGATAAGCATTTTAAATAGTGGATAAAAATTAAATACACCCTTATTTAGTGGCTACTATACGCCATTTTTACCAAAGAATATATACAAGCTGTTCTATTATGACCAATTCTTCTGCAACGACCACATTTGAATGTTATTTTTGATGGCTCGGTAGCAGGAATATGCCTTTTCTTTTGCCTTCTACCTGGTGTCACTTTGAAATCTGGAGGTTTAACAATTTGTGACTTAACACTCTCTGGTACAATCCAAGAATCAGTATGTCCTACATGATGTATTTGTCTTTCATATGTTTTCAGCCAAGATTCCTTTAAGTACCAGTGCGAACAAAAGTCGGACTTCTTGATGTTTCTCTTCTCGATAGCTGCAATTGCATGTATGCATGGTAATTCATCAAGTTGAAATTGAAAACAATCACATGTTCTTTTGTTTATGTCCACCAAGAAAGTTATTCCTTCTTCTTCAACTCTAGAACGCCATGAATCAACAAGGAAGACCTTCAATGTTGAAAAATTATAAGTGAGTACATTATGTTAAAAAATGTTAAAATCATAATATAAACATAAAACATAATACTTACGTTCAAAGTAAATGCTAAATCTATTCTTTTCTTCAATTCCTCCTCTACCCAACAAGAAACATCATAAAATGTTCCTTCTGCTTTATTTCTTCTTTCATAAAACCAATGTTGTAGATTCACTTGAATGAAATCCATCATTCTTAGTATAGGCAGCTCCCTTGCTTCTAATAGCACTGAATTCATCGACTCAACTATGTTTGTTGTGAGCATGTCATATCTTCGTCGTGGACTACAAGAACGTGCCCATCTTTCCGGTGGTTCTTCCATCAAGTAGTTATAAGTTTTCTTTTCTACATTTGCAATATCTGACATGTATATGTCAAATTCTTTACGCCTGTATACTCTTACAGCACTTTGGAAAAGTTTTATGACCTCACTTTTCACCTTTCTTCGCTTTAGGTTCTGCTCCAAATGATAGATGGAAATCCNTGCTCCAAATGATAGATGCAAATCCCATGATGGCTTTCAGGATATACCTTTACAATGCCATTTGCAATAGCTTGATGCCTGTCTGATAAAAAAATCAAATTCTCACGGCTCCCAATTGCATTGCGAAGCTGACTAAAGTACCACTCATAGGAATTGTTATTTTCAGATTCTGCTATTCCAAAGGCTAATGGGAAAATTTGGTTATTTGCATCTTTTGAAACTGAAATCATTAAAACACCACGATATTTTGACTTCAAAAAAGTCGCATCAATAGCAATCACTGGTCTACAATGATTCCAACCAGCTATCGATGATCCATATGCGTAAAACATATAAAGAAACCTGAAAATACAATATAAAACAAGGTTAAAATACCCGAAGTTTAGGACAGTCAGTCCTTAACTTACATTTACAAGTTATAAAGTTAAGGACATGTTGTCCTTAACTTTTATTTCAAAGTTCAAAACTTAAGGACTGGAAGTCCTTAACTTTTAATTACAAGTTCAAAACTTAAGGATAGGCAGTCCTCAACTTCTGGTTATAACTCAAAAGTTAACAAGGCTAAAGACAGCATGTCCTAAATTGTTTACCTGTTGTTGTCGTCTATCTTTATGTTAGTATAAGTTCCCGGGTTTTTACTTGTCATCATATACAAGTATGAACACAATAATTCATAATTTTCTTCGGGACTTCCTCTTATTAAAGCGGAAGCATGTTGAATAGCACGCCACGCCTTGTGATATCCAATGTCTAGTCCATGCAATTTTTGCATCTCTGCCATGACAAAAGCTGGTGTAACTTCAAATCTTGGGTCCCGAAGATTATCGATAATGTAACCACTAATCAACTTTGAAGTAGCATGCCTTTGATCTGCTTTCCTAGTGTTAACAGAGCAGTCATGCTTTTTCTCAAGCTTTACTATCTTGAATAATGTTGAGTCTTTAATTCTGAAAGCACGCATACACCAACGACACCTAATTGCATGTCAACGAATATCTTGTTGAGCTTGATCTAACAACTTTTAATTCAAAATGTCCTTTGATTGCTATATTGGAAAAACAGTTAATTATACTCTTCTTTTTGTCAAATACTGATCCGACTTTTATTTTATCCAAAGAAGCATTTTCTCTTAATATCATAGTTGGGGATTCTTTTTGTTTCAAATTTGATCTTCGTCTAGTTATTTGAGTGCAAGTTTTGTCAGCAACTACTTCGATTACCGGTGCACTCTCTAAGACATGAATACCCAAAGCTTGTTCGTTGTCAATCTCTATAATGCTTTGTCCTTCTACTTGAATACAATCAAATGTTTGATGCACCTCTTCATTTAATGGTTGAGCTTCAACCATATCTACTTCAACTATCTGTTGGCATCGCTCTTGATTGTCACGTTGAGTTTTTGTGTTAGCATGTTCATTGCTTGTTGATGCAAAAACTCTTTCCGAAATATCAACTATGAAACGACAGCTCTTGAAGAGCGAATGCNTGAATGAGTTTTTAGCAACTCTATACATGTGTGAAGATCTAAATCTTTGGATACAAGCATTCCTTTGCTTGTTCCAAGGTTGATATCAAACCATATCACTATTTCAAACTTTTCTCTATCCAATTCAATAAGCTCAAAAATCTGTTTAACGAAATCTTCAAACTGAATTGACTCAGGTGCTAGGAAAAGCTTTGTTTGATGATCAAGATATTTATAGTCTTCAGTCCATCTACCATTAAAAGCAACTATTATGCATATTGTTTCCATCCTACAAGTCAAGAGAATGGGAAACAAAGGACATACGTTATAAAGCAATCCTTGTAGAATTAAGAACAGGTGTACTGTAAGTGAAAGACCAAGATAAGGACTGCTTGTCATTAACATTTAAACATGGAATTAAAAGTTAAGGACTTCCAGTCCTTAACTTTTGAACAAGAAATTAAAACTTAAGGACTGTCTGTCCTTAACTTTTGAACCAGAAATTAAAACATAAGGACTGCATGTCCTTAACTTTTGAACCAGAAATTAAAAGCTAAGGACTGCCTGTCCTTTAACATTTAAACATATAATTAAAGTTAAGGACTGCCAGTCCTTAAAATTTAAACATAGAATTAAAAGTTAAGGACTGCCAGTCCTTAACTTTTGAACCATAAATTAAAAGCTAAGGACTGCCTGTCATTTAACATTTAAACATGTAATTAAAGTTAAGGACTGCCAGCCCTTAACATTTAAACATGAAATTAAAAGTTAAGGACTGCCAGTCCTTAAGTTTTAAACATGGAATTAAAAGTTAAGGACTGCCAGTCCTTAACTTTTGAACCAGAAATTAAAAGCTAAGGACTGCTTGTCCTTTAACATTTAAACATGTAATTAAAGTTAAGGACTACCAGTCCTTAACATTTAAACATAGAATTAAAAGTTAAGGACTGTCAGTCCTTAACATTTAAACATGGAATTAAAAGTTAAGGATTGCCAGTCCTTAACTTTTGAACCAGAAATTAAAAGCTAAGGACTGCTTGTCCTTTAACATTTAAACATGTAATTAAAGTTAAGGACTGCCAGTCCTTAACATTTAAACATGGAATTAAAAGTTAAGGACTGCCAGTTCTTAACTTTTGAACCAGAAATTAAAAGTTAAGGTCTGCCTGTCCTTTAACATTTAAACATGTAATTAAAGTTAAGGACTCTCAGTCCTTAACATTTAAACATGGAATTAAAAGTTAAGGACTGCCAGTCCTTAACTTTTGAACCAGAAATTAAAGCTAAGGACTGCCTGTCCTTTAACATTTAAACAGGGAATTAAAAGTTAAGGACTGTCAGTCCTTAACATTTAAACATGGAATTAAAAGTTAAGGACTGTCAGTCCTTAAGTTTTAAACATGGAATTAAAAGTTAAGGACTGCCAGTCCTTAACTTTTGAACCAGAAATTAAAAGCTAAGGACTGCCTGTCCTTTAACATTTAAACATGTAATTAAAGTTAAGGACTGTCAGTCCTTAACATTTAAACATGGAATTAAAAGTTAAGGACTGCCAGTCCTTAAGTTTTAAACATGGAATTAAAAGTTAAGGACTGCCAGTCCTTAACTTTTGAACCAGAAATTAAAAGCTAAGGACTGCCTGTCCTTTAACATTTAAACATGTAATTAAAGTTAAGGACTGTCAGTCCTTAACATTTAAACATGGAATTAAAAGTTAAGGACTGCCAGTCCTTAAGTTTTAAACATGGAATTAAAAGTTAAGGACTGCCAGTCCTTAACTTTTGAACCAGAAATTAAAAGCTAAGGACTGCCTGTCCTTTAACATTTAAACATGTAATTAAAGTTAAGAACTGTCAGTCCTTAACATTTAAACATGGAATTAAAAGTTAAGGACTGCCAGTCCTTAAGTTTTAAACATGGAATTAAAAGTTAAGGACTGTCAGTCCTTAACTTTTGAACCAGAAATTAAAAGCTAAGGACTGTCTGTCCTTTAACATTTAAACATGGAATTAAAAGTTAAGGACTGTCAGTCCTTAACATTTAAACATGAAATTAAAAGTTAAGGACTGCCAGTCCTTAAGTTTTAAACATGGAATTAAAAGTTAAGGACTGCCAGTCCTTAACTTTTGAACCAGAAATTAAAAGCTAAGGACTGCCTGTCCTTTAACATTTAAACATGGAATTAAAAGTTAAGGACTGCCCGTCCTTAACTTTTGAACCAGAAATTAAAAGCTAAGGATTGCCTGTCCTTTAACATTTAACCATGGAATTAAAAGTTAAGGACTGCTAGTCCTTAACATTTAAACATGTATTTAAAAGTTAAGGACTGTCAGTCCTTAACATTTGAACCAGAAATTAAAACATACAATTTGAAACTCAAGCTACAGGACTTTGTATATAAAAGAACAACAATAAAGTGAAGAACATTTTGTCCCTAAGTTTTTTTTATTCAATTTGCAAAATGAGGCCAGTAGAATCAAAGTTAAGGACATAGTGTTCTTATTTTTTTGAATTCAATTTCCAAAATGAAGACACTATGTCCAGAATACAGAATTATCATAGGAGGCGATGCCTATAAATTTATCAATCCAGAAATTCAAAAAAAATCAAATTCTTATCTAATATATAATCAAATCAATACAGATCTAAAAAAGTATAACTATAGCGAAATAAAAATCGATAGAAACACATGAAATTACAACTTACTGTTTATCTATGTCAATTTTTTGGATTTGAATGCTGAATTTTTGAAATCGGGAAAAGAAATGGTGGTTCGTCCTCAGTTGATCGCCGTTGTGGTAACTGCTGCTGCTGCTCGCTTCTTCTCTTTGTGTAACTGCTGCTTGTGTTGATAGCGTAGGTATAAGTTATACCAGAAGGGTATTTTCGTCCAGTCAGGTATAAGTTTTTTAAAGGAGTGGCTAAAGTCAAAATACATTGAAAACAGTGGCTTTAAAATAAAAGACACTGCTTTTAGTGGCTATTTGTGCCGTTCGCCCTATTCTCCGGCACTCCATCCATTTTCAAGAAAGCATAGAGAAGAGTAAAAGTTAAGGACAATCAGTCCTTAACTTTAAATTGTAAGTGCAAAGGTTAAGGAAATACAGTCCTTAACTTATACTTTCAACATCCAAAGTTAAGGACACTTAGTCCTTAACTTCAAGTTTCATGTGCAATAGTTAAGGACAAGATTATCCTTAACTTTGAATTCCAACTACAAAATTTAATGTCGTTTCTTCCTTACATTTAATGAACAAAATTAACTGAAAATTCATAATCACAGTAAGCTTATGAATTTCTACGACTATTTTTATGAAATATACCTACATAATCAAATATATTGAATCAACCACAAACACATTTCAAATTTCACACACTAAAAATTTATCAAAAACAGAATCACACAAAATATACTACACTGAATCAACATATAATGCTAATTTTTGAAATTTCACACATACTTCACACGACATTGAACCAACTTAAACATAAAGAAAAACGAAAATGCATAAAAAAACATATTACCAGTCGCGATTGACAGAAAATGACGGAAAACATATTACCAGTCGCGATTGACGAAAATCCACATCAACTAAGGCCTTCCCCGTAGCAAGGAAAGGTCTCCCTAATATGATTGAGACTTCATAATCCACTTCACAGTCCAAAATGATAAAGTCAGCTGGTAAGATAAATTTGTCCACCCGGACAAGAACATTATCAATAATACCCAATGGTCTCTTCATTAATCTATCCGCCATTTGCAATCTCATGGAAGTCGGCCTCAGTTGCCCAATATCTAAAGTCTTGTAAACTGAGTAGGGCATAAAATTGGTACTAGCCGCCAAATCACATATGGCCTTAGCAAAATCCGCACTCCCAATGGTGCAAGGAATGGTGAAAGCGCCGGGATCTTCAAGTTTCGGGGTCATTTAATGAACTATAGCACTAACTTGGTGAGTCATCTTTGTAGTTTCACAATCCATAGACCACTTCTTTGTAATCAATTCCTTTATAAATTTAGCATAGCTCGACATTTGTTTAAGAGCCTCTACCAAAGGCACATTAATGGATAGGTTCTTCATCATGTCAATGAACTTTTTAAACTGATTTTTATTTTTCTGCTTCACAAGCCTTTGAGGATTAGGCGGAGGTGGCCTTGGCAAAGGTGCCTTGGCTTTAGGCACAACCAGATCCGGCATATCAATTACGTGTTTCCTAAACGGGTTAACGTCATTTTGAGTTTCCACCTCGGCCTCTTGAATATCAATCCTCAATTTTTCATTCACGTTGTCATCAACCACATCTTCAACTACTAAAGGAATTTCATCTTCTTGCAACTCAACATCATCATCCAAAAGTTGCTTTTGTTTGGAGGCATTCACATCACCTCCCCTCCAACTTCTTGTTGTTACCGCCATAACATGATTGTTCCATCCCTTATGGTTCATTACTGTATCACTTGGTAGAGTACCCTTAGGGCGAGTATTCAAAGACTT